GTGTTGGAGATTACGCCAACTCCCTCTATCCTAGATTTTCTGCGATTTCCTGGCAGCCTGAATGGGAAAAAACCCTGTGTTTTTTTGTATCGATAACATTCATGTCTCGGCCGAGAGTGTACATGCTTACAGTATACTTTGAGCCAGTGTCTGTACTCACTTTTTTATTTCAGGGGACCGGATTAAAATTTGAGGTTTTGAAAGCAAGAACCCTCTGCTCAAAATCTTGAAATTATAGGGGTCCGGGGTTAGAATTTGAGGGTCAGCTGGGTGTTGGAGATTAGGACAACTTTACAGTATCCCAGCTTTTCTGCGATTTCCTGGCAGTTGAAAGAACCCTATGGTTGCTCAAAACGATAACATTCATGTCTAGGGCAAAATGTGTTCACCAACTGTAGTCATGCATAATTGTATTGTTCACGTACCGGTAGGTGAAGAATTTCTAAAATTAGGGGGGGGGGGTCCATTGCGTGATCGTGATGAGCCCTTAAATTGCACAACTTTAGGTTTTACTAAAATTATTTATGCCAAATTGCAACTGTTTGAGATAATGAGAGGGGTTTCATAAATGATGGACTGTACATGGGTATCATCAAGGTGATGTGATACTGAAAGTGCGCATTACAATCTGAAAACATCTTACAAGTCTTTCTTCCTCATACTGAAAGTAATATGACTGGAAAATGGAAATGGAGGTCCAAAGTAGAATACAACTCACAATTACAGGTAGCAGCTAGGGTTTTGCATCAAGGGCATTCTTGTATCACAATGAAAATCATTCTTTTCTTCAAGAAGAAAAAAGAGTGATTCAACAGGACTACCAGGACTTTCAAAATACAACATTAAACAATACTAGTAAGTTAGTAAACCGATACAGGATCTGGCCTACATGTACTAGTGCATTGTGACCTACATTGTACATGTACACTGCACAGCATATAAAAAGGAGCATTACACTGTACATGGTTGAACATATACTGTATCTCTTACGAAATATTCTTCTTAATCCGTGGGTAAGCAGGGTTAAGACCCTTGTATCCATACAGTTCACAACCTCTTTATGAACAGAATGCGTTTCCTGGTTCAATAATCTCAGATCTCTCTCTCTCTCTTTCTTATTTTCTTTCTTCTTAATTTGAAGGAAACTGCCAGAGAATTCAATATTGCATGCCAACTGTCAGTTGTGCTTGGTTACTAAAGACTAAAAGTATGGAGGTCATGATGAACTTTCTAAAATCAGGCAATAAAATAAAGCCAACATGCTTGCAGAGTTTTTTTTTCTGTAGACAATTTTAAATTTTATCTCACTCATTGTAGATACATGTATGTAAGTTCTTCATTATTTTTTTAATGAAATCATTCCAGATTTCCACACAATGTTTGATGTACAATACGTGTGCATGTACACGTAACTTCGAGCTAATGTCAGTTCAGTCCTGAATCAACTGCTCAAAATACAGTCAACAAAATGTGTACACTAGTACGGTAGTACCTGTCTGTGTCTAACAGTTTCAATTGCAAATATTGATAAGAATTCACAGATCTTCTATTTTTTTAAAATAATAATTCTTGTAGTCTATGCACTGTACGTGATCAGACTGATCACATCTACATGTATATCATTTCAATCACATCATTATAAATAATGGAATTTATGATACATTTTATTGCCTCACATTTGTCGTACTACAAAATACATGTCTCTACAAATATAAAATGTATAAATAGTACATACGATGTACATTCATTGGTAGATCTATATTTATTTTACAAGGACAGACTTTGGATTCGATCTTGATGGACTATTGTGAATCATCTGAAGGGGTTTCTGCTCAAGATTCCCTGAAGTCGACCTACTGCACTTGCAAGTAGCCTGATCATTGTCCAGGCTAGTTGTCAATCTTGTATCAATTTCACTTCCTCATTTGCTTTATTTATTGCTTGCTATTGTTATGGTTACACATGTAAGAAGAATCCATGAACTAATGAGCTTTGCTTACGGTCTTACTTAATTTTTAAATAAATTGAAATGATTGCATGGCCCTCAGGCACATGGACAATAGTTTTAATACTGATGAGGCCACCCTGGGTAAACAAGACATACATGTACATGTACATGTACAGTAGTATTATTATCATTTTTGATATAAACTTGAATGTTATTGTGTTATTAACTACGAAATTGTGATTGCCTACATTCAATTTAATCAAAGCGATAATATGGTTAATGTCAAAACTTCATGTACATGTACATGTACAACCTGCATACATGTACACTGTACGAGCGAATAATGGAGTTCCTCAGTTTAAGCTACATGTAGTACACGCAGACACAAAATTAACATTGAAGTTTTGTCACCTTGTATTACCAGGACACCTTGTACTTTCAGGACTCCTTGTCTGGCTTAAAGTTTAAATACATGTATGTAGATAAACTATGGTCCATGATTTGACAGTTTCGGTTCTCTGTTTGAATAACATAATGTACATGTAATATGTATGTTTACGATGTACATGTATGTAATTGCATGTGCAAGGAAAACTCTGTGTTATCAGGTAAAGGTATTGTTCATGGGTACCAATAGATCAATAAAGCTGAATACAGTTATTGAGAAAATATTGATTGTTTCTTTGATAGTGAGGCCTGGGTATTGTTTGTTACAATGCAGTGTAGGCCTGGTCTATTTGTAATGTTCAAACATGTACATGACTACATGTACAGTACAGAAATACAACTGATACACGTAGAAGAGTGACCATGAAATCAATGTTATTGTGAATGTTATACAATCATAAATGTCCATGTACAGTAAACCGATACATGCAAGGTAAAGTTGCAAGGTAATAACAGTACAAAAGATAAATGTACCAGTAAGGCCTAGTGGCCTACATTGTACACTGTTGGTCTATGAGCATTTAGTCAAGAATAAAATAGTCATAATTTGTTAAAAACTTCCATTGCTACTGTAGCAAGACTAGCTTTTACTCTTTTTTTTCAATCGTCTCCCTCTTCCATCCTAATAACATTTTCCATTCTTTATATCATATATTTTCAAAAGCAACCCCACACTGTTCACTACAACCCGACCCTACTGATCAAAATAAGCTCAACCATGGAAGTAAAAATAGAGTCCCAGGTACACCAACGAAGAATGGCAAAAATGCACTTTTTTTCAAATTTGAATGGAAACAAAGTTCACAACACTCCTGGGATACAACGTGTAACTAACGATGACTCACCATGCTCGCTCGTTCAATGTGGAACGGCTAGGATACCAATTTATATTAGTCTTGTATTTCAGACCTCAGCTGGTCCCAAACATGGCACTTTGCTTTTTCAGCATACCGGTACTTTCAGCTGTTTCAGGATCTGATGAAACATCAATTCTGATGAGAAGGATTACGGTATCTTTCAAAAACAATAAAGTGCACCAACTTTAAAAAAATCTTGTATTCATATAAAATTGCACTCCTTGCATTTAGATTATAATCTACATTGTGAAAAGGCCTCAAAGGTTTTATAGTGCCAGTGAGTCTGAGTGAGAAAGACTAGCTAAAGATCCCTGCGCTGCCAGCGCAGCTCAAGTTCAGCACAGGCCTAGCTACTTCAAACAGAAAAAGAAAACAGGATTACAGTTGGACTTTTGGACTTCTCTTTATCACATTGTTTAAATGTTTTATGGTGCCAAATTGTGTAAATTTCATCTTGCGAAAATTTCGCATTCCAGAAGCAGACTAAAAGGTGCCACATTAATATAATGAATCATTAAGGAGCGAGATGATATGTGCTGGTACTTAGTACTTACAACACTACACCATGTACTGGGTAAATGTGTTCCAGGGTTGCCAAAGCAAATACAGTGTACATACATGTACATGTACATGTACACTGTACATGTACAAAGCAAAGGCTTGAAATATTATGATACCATTAATAATTCACTGATGTACATGTAGGATTCACAATTCCTTCAATCATTCTTTCTTTTTTTCTCGGTCACCTTCAAAAGTATACTTGTTTGAACGTGCAGACCTACTTTCTTGTTCTTTAATCCCTGCACAATGCACACCTCTTCTCTACACCCCACATCCTACCCTCCCTCCTGAACTGTAACTAAGCAGTTCTTTGTTGCATTATGATGGGATTTAAAGTCTCTGAGACTCCTGAGAGGGCCATCTGTATTTGTTGTATTGCCAGGAGATGAGAGCCTCATTTGTGGTTAAGATCTGTGCATGAACTTCTTTGTCTGTGAAGTGTGAAGTTCGGCATCAATGGACCGATTCATAAACTTGCTTGGAGGTGCTCGACTCAAACCACAGGCACAGGCATGTAGTACAGTATGGGCAAAGATGGTGTACGAGTACATTGTACAGTATGTAGGCTTTGCAATGATAACCTAAACTTGACTGATAGCTGAACACAGAATACTATTTACAAAATTAAAGGCAAGTCTGTACAAAACTGGACAGAAAAATCAGTCTGCTTGAATAATATTTTGTCTCATGATGCTCTCCTCCAAGAGGATTCTGAATTTCCGTGTTCAGAGTTTCAGATGTACATGTACATGTACAAGTACATGTTGTTGTGGTGTCAGAGGAAAAGTTCCTCACACAACATCCTACATGTTCAGTATATCCAGTATACCGGTAGTTAATAGTGAAAAGTTGGTTGCATGTACAACCTGTACAGTGTACGTGTACATTGTACATGTACATGTGTACAGTGTATAAATATGTGCAAGCACAAATAATCTGTCATTCTGCATAATTTCAATAGATCTAGTCTATGCACAAAATCACATATTTTTCACTAAAATTAGTTTTTACAAGATGCCTTGATTTTTTGTTTGAATGTTTACAATCTTACGAAGAGGCCTAAGTTAGAGGCATGGTCTAGTTGTCTAGATCTACATCATACATTGTATTTGTATTAATAACTTAGATCTAACTTTTTAGGCCTAGAAGGAAAATGTTGACATAATAAAAAAATCATGTTTTACCTTCCAAGTTCGTTGAGGGTTGAATAAGAAGAATGAAAGTTGCCCTCTCTGTATCTCTTTGTAGTTCCATCTGGAACCACTCGTGATCTATTCATGACTTGCACTTGTCGAAGAGGCATCAGTCTTTTTAGAAAATCACAAAATAAGTTCTGTCTAACTTAGGTTGTCTGAATCTTGTTCCCTGTGACTGTGTTCCACTCCTTCAGTTCTTCGAATTTTTTCAGTTTCAGTTTTATTGACTTGATTTGTAAATCCCCATGACATCACAATGGCTGATAATGCAACAACACCATTCAAGTACTATTAACTTGCTGTAAAATATCATCGATAACTTTTGGACTGATGATCTTGGCTTGGTTGATTTCAGCACGCGATCGAGGCGAAGACTGGCCTATTCCTCACGGTCTCCCGCTGGCCTGAACAAATTACAGTGAAAGGTGTACTTCCAGTGCAATGTAGTTCTTCACAAAATTGCTTGTAATTCCAAAATCCTTCCTTTCCTAGAGTATTATGAAAGAGAATCCCTTCAAAAGTCAACGATGTCGACTTTCATGGCCTAGCTTGCATTCAAAAGACATCACAAACAGCTAAAATATGTGATTTTCTACGCAGTTTCTCTGGCCTCGCATCTTCACCGTCGTCGCTCATCTTTTGTTGTTTCAACGATTTCGAAGTTTGGCCGGAAATGCACATTGGTACTGGTCGGGCCTTTCGCGCATGCGCATAAAGTCTAATACATATTCATCATCATTGTGACATCATGAATGCATGCGAGTGCAAGGAAGAGTTTTGCAACTTATGGTTTTGTGCTATTATTTACGCACATAAATTCAATCTCGACAGTGGTGAAGATATAGACATTTTATTTGATTAGTTGCCTTTTCATATTTTCACGACAGACATGCTAGAACGGACCTAGTCTATCAAATGTTAATAATGATAATAATAATGATAATTAAATTAATAGTTATAATAAGAAAATAATGATCCTCATCATCATCATCAAAATAATAATAATAATTACAATAATAACGATAGTAATAATAAAAATAGTAATTATTTTAATGAGAATAATGATAACATTTTATATGTAATAATAAAAGTGGGTTCTTGTATAACACTCATGGCTGTCGAACATGCTATTCAAGCACACCACAAATCATATTCATAAGGTTTCCTTTTCTTTCTTAAAATTAATAATACCAAAGGCCTAGTAATAATAGAAGTGGTTCACATTCTAAACATATACGTTTATGACAATCTTGTTTTAACTTGTATTTTTTACATTTTCTATGTATCGACGTAACAAGGTCTATAACGATCCCACTAAAAAAAAAAGGCCCTAACAATGTCTTAATTTCTCCAGCCCTAACCATGAAATCACATGGAAGCGAGGAGAGAAGTCAGGACATTTCGTATTTTAATGATAATATTATAATGGCAAAATGGCCTGATTTTTGTTATCATACCTTAAAGACCGTCAATACTACTGGGCCAGAAGGGATTAGACCACACAGCGAGGTCACTGACAGGTGGCTATCTCATTAACTCAGCTCTCAACTAACATAATGAAAAGAGGATCATGGGGGACCAACCGGCACCGATTGGGAAGTTTTCTATATAGAGGGAGCAAGTAGCTACAAGTAGGACAATGGGGCTTTAAACTTATAACTTATTTGATTTACCTCATTAATTAAAATTATGTAGCTACGAAATGAACATTCTAATATGTAAATATTGATTAATATATTAACATAACTGCCGAGGCTTTATCCCCTTCTCCATTTTACTGTTAGAGACACCGGTATTTATAGGCTACAATAAGTTTAAATTTGGGCAACTTTCACATAGTTTGAGCAGCGAGGTGGTCGACGACAGAAACACGGTCACTATAAAAAGAAAGAGCTTTTGTGTGTTTTTGTTGTTGCTTTCTTGCTCTGTTCACTCGCTTTTAAAATTTTCAAAACAGAAAGTTGATATTTGGGCAAGTGAAGTCAGCCCCCCCCCCCCCCCCTCCTTCCTCCCAGCAGCGAAAGGACGCATTTTGTAGAGTTCAGTGATTTTGCAACGTCCAAATAAGCTCATTTGGAATATCCGACAGAGGGCGACATTAAAAAAAAAAATTATTTACGCCATGCATATATTTGTAATTCCTGCCTACTCCCTCAATCTCTCATTGGTCCTGACACTTATCTATTATCGTTGTTTTTGTTTGTTTAATATATTGTTTAATTACAACAGTATAGTTAAAAACCTCCACTAAATTTTTTCTTTATTGAAAAATCTATGTTTTCTCCCAAACTGTACAATAATTTTTATCACAATTTGTATACTCGATTGAATATCTATATCATGTTCGATACTTATGAAAAACATTTTGAAAACAAAATGTCTGTGTTTATATTAAATTATAAGGCAATGTACTATGTGTATACTGTAATAGAAAAATTATGTTCTTATTTATAATTTTGTATATGAAAATCTGAATAAAGGCAAAAAAACCCTCTAAATTAGTATTATCTTTCAAATACTATTGGAATTTAACCTTTTCATTTTTTTGGCCTGCAAAAGGGACAAAGTATCTTTAAAAGTATCGAAATCGCCCTTGAGTTGATTTTTAGAAACTGGTTTCGATCGTGTTAATTCGGGATGAAGAAATACGAGAAAACGGAAAACGTGTGGTAATTTCTGCTAAGATGATTATGGATTAATATCTTAATTGGTACTTGACGTCATAGATCCTCGTGCCTCCATAAGCCGATAAGACAAGATTACCACCACCACGACAACATGAAGTTCTCACCTAGCACAGTTAATTAGATCATTAGATCACCATGTCTATAACGATTAAAACACACTCGAAAGTTCTTTGAGCCAATCAATGAAGGGGATTTGCAAATACTCGATACAGGTAACTGAAAATTGACTCAAAGGAACTTTTGAGTGTTTCAATCGTCTGACATGGTTTTAATTAACAGCGTAATACGAACCTTATGGATAAACTTTAATACTGGTAATGCGATTGCATTGTGAAAGAAAAGGTGTGGAAAGGATCAGAAACCGTTGATCATGTAGCATGTAAGTATTGGTGTGCACTGCAAGGTTCTGGAGTCATCAAAATCATAATAAATTTGACCGAGTCTTGGTAAAGTAACAAGCACTGTACACAGAAAGCTATATATATGGGACAACACACATGGTGTCGGGGCTAGTACTACCTTGATTTCTTTGTCTTTCTATGCTCATTACTCAGCCAGTATACATTTTCTTCCAAAATTGTTTGGCACATGTCATTTATTTGTAATCTTGAACATTCAGTGTAAGTTTCGTTTGATTCTGTGAGAATTAATTTTCTTTTTTTTTACCAGAACTTGAGTTTATCTTTATGCTAATGTGTTGGTGATAATCTATTTTCTTTCCTATTTCTGCAAAGAAAGATACGGACGAACTAGAAAGACATGGACTAAGATGATAATGATGATGATGAAGAACAAGAAGAAGATGGGGAAGAAAGTAGAGTATAAAGAAGAAGAAAGAGAAGAAGAAATAATAAAGACAGAAAAAGAAGGAGGAGGATGACGAGAAGTGGAAGAAGAAGAAGAAGAAGAAGAAGAAGGAGAAGGAGAAGGAGAAGGAGAAGGAGAAGAAGAAGAAGAAGAATAAGAAGAAGAAGAAGAAGAAGAGAAGAAGAAGAAGAAGAAGAAGCAGAAGAAGCAGAAGAAGAAGAAGAAGAAGAAGAAGAAGAAGAAGAAGAAGAAGAGGTAGGAGGAGGATGAAGAGGGGAAGGAGGAGGAGAAAAAGGGACAGGAACAATTAAGACGGGACGAAAAGACCCTAAGCGAGAGATAATCAGAAGCAGATTGATAGATACTTGACGTTGGGCAGGGGCGGATCCAGCCGGCGACAAGGGAGGTGGCCAAATAGGGGGCCCAATTAGTGAGAAAATATTAAGCGCCGAATCAGCCAGCCGGCGGATAATCGGGGGGGGGGGGGGGGGGGGGTAAGGAGCACTATTCCCCCCCCCCCTAATTCGAGAGGAAATATTTACCGCCGAATCAGCCAGCCGGCGAATAATCGGGGGGGGGGGGGGGGGAGGTTGGTAAAAGCGCTACTTTGTGTGCTCAATCGGGAGGGGGCCCGGGCCCCCTAGATCCGCCACTAATGTTGGGCACTTGAGCCCCGTAAGCAGATAAGACTACATTATCACCAACATAATTTACTTCGTGTCAGGGCCAGGGGCGTAAGCGTGTTTTTTTTTTTCGAGGGGGGGGGGGGGGGGGGCGGGGTAACCGATATTTCGTTCATTTTTTTGTTGTTGTGTATTTATTGTTATTAAAAAAAATAAGGGGAGGGGGGGAGTTCCCTCCAACACACACACATATAAACAAAAATTGAGGGGGTGTTCGACCCCCCCCCCCCCCCCTGCGTATTAGGCCAAGAGCATTAGGTCAAAATAGGCCTCAACCTGGACATTTTCCATAACAAGCTGATTTTTTCAGGATAGCTCCGGGAATATGTCTAGAATAACATACTAAAAGTCCTCATGAATCCTCCTTGAGCGTTTTCCGCAATTCAAGATGGCGTCCAAAATGGCCGCCATTTCCTAAATTTCTTATAGCTTTGCAACTAGATAACCCAAATACAAAATGTAAATGTCTAAATATATGTTTTCTAGCATAAGGAACTCATTAAAATATATGTTGATAAATTTTGAAACACACAAGTAGCTTTAAACCACTTTAGCCCATCCCGAAATCCAAAATGGCGCCCAAAATTGCCGCCATTTCCTGTATTTCTTATAACTGTGCAACTAATAACCCAAATACCAAATTTAATTGTCTAAATATATGTTTTTCAGCATAAGGAACTCAACCAAATACTTATTAACACAATTTAAAACACACAAGTAGCAGTAAAACCACTTGAGCCCTTCCCGAAATCTAAATTGGCACCCCAAATGGCCACCATTTCCAATTTTATCTCATTGTATTAAAGTAGATAAGTTATGAATGCAATCAAATGTCTATACTAGAAAAGCACCATTGAAATACATATCAGTACAAATAAACCTTTCAATAAATAACTAAATACTTCTTATACATAAAGTATACACACACCCACCCACATACACACACACACACACACGCACACATATGGCTGCTTCCATCATCCTCAACAACATCAGACTGACAGTGTGCAACCGTGAAGAGTACTCAACGTCAGATGCCCGGGTTAGATGGAACTGAAAATGGAGACACATTAGTACCAATGTCGCAAAGGCAAAAGTCACACGGTTTCAAACAGGAAATGCACCTCAATAGCACATGCCGTATTATCACTGCTAGTAGACCAGGTCATTTCTGTCGCTAATATTGTTGGAATAGCTGTGTATAACACCGGAAGTGTGGCTCACGTGAACAGATAGACAACTTGAGCAACATGTCCTTCATGGAGTGGTTTCATGAAAGTGGCCATGCAGAGTGACTAGTACGAGAATTGAAACTCTGCCCTTCATAAATTTAGACCCCTTTTATCCGAGTACCATCTACACGGCACTATACTTTGCACATTCACAATGTGAAAAACATAACTTAAGAATATGTGCAGTAACATTTAACCAGCCCTCGTACATCAAGGCAGCAGAGATTGTAGCTTCTTCTCAAGACCTAGGAAAAG